AAATCCATTCAAAATTACAAGTCATTTTTTTGAAGAACTTGGCGCGCGAGACGACCGCATCTTTTTATAAATAAAATCTAAAGAAACTTTAAATTTGAATTCGTGAGTTATTCAAGTATCAATTATTCAATTGTAACGACTAAGTGGAGATATTTCTAAAATTAGTCGCGGGATAGAATCGAATAGGATTAATGCGCAATTTTTCAGTGTGAAGTTTTAAAAATACTACGGAAAGGTAATTTTCAGGGAATCTATTTCACGAATCGATGGCGAATCCTCCGCAAGCGATGGGTTGAAGGATTGGTGAATATTTGAGATGTGTCTAATTGATTGACAGTTATTTGACGACTCGAAGTCACATCAGACTGGAATTAATTTCCAAATTTAGAACCTTGCTCTCTTCTTCCTGTAAGTTAGTATGCAATTACTATCTGCAAGATGTGACAATCAATCAATCAATCTTTCAGTAATTGAAATAGATGTGAATATTTTTATCATTGACTGATTGAGAGACCATCTCCCCTAATTGAATAACAATTAAATCAATCACGAGAAATTTTTAAAAAGTTTTATAAATTTTTTATCCGTGCAATTATTTCAAGAAATATTATTCTAAAAAGAAGTAGAAGTTATGATTGAGAGAAGATAAATATCTTTTTCTAGATTGAATAATTTTTTGTCGCTGTAAATGATTCGAGGAAACAATAAACTGCGGGAGGTTGAAACCGCAGGTATTTCCACTCATTAAAATCCCGGAAATATCGAATATTATTTCAATATTTCATGGCGGTCCCCGCAGACAAGGATTTATTTTCACGCGTCATTAATCGACACAGCGTAAAATGAAATAAAAAAAAAACAAGAAAAGAGTGACACAAAGAGATTGTCAGATATTTGCAGTGGCAATCTCCATCAGTGAGATATATTTGATCCCACGTTTTTCGTTACGTTTTTTCATCTTTTTTTTTTTTTCATCCATGTTTTTTCGTTGTTCCCGGGATGTGCCATTGTGTGAACGAGCATTCTGTGTTACGTCGCTCAATTAACATCCACGATTCATGTCCTGAATTGCGACGTGCCACGACGAAAATTCGATAACATATACAACAGCCCACGGACGACATTTTAATTCCCCTGGGTATTCCATTAGCGTTGTAACCTGTGACTTGACGTAATAATCAAAATTAACGAAGGAAAAAAAATGGCAGATAAAACGCGGAAATGAAAAACTTGATGATTTGAAATTTTCGCTTGAAGCGTTATCATATAATAATTACTCAGATGATCCGAATGATATAATTTTTCTTAAATTTCCAATTTTTTTATTATAAAAAAAGGAAAATTGTAACCTGTGACTTGACGTAATAATCTAAATTAACGAAGGAAAAAAAAATGGCAGATAAAACGCGGAAATGAAAAAATTGATGATTTGAAATTTTCACTTGAAGCGTTATCATATAATAATTACTGAGATGATCCGAATGATATAATTTTTCTTAAATTTCCAATTTTTTTATTATAAAAAAGGAAAATTCAAGTGTCAAGTGAATCGCGTGGAATAAAAATTGATGATTTCTTGAAATTTTTGATTGATGAGTTGTACGGGTTGATGATTAATTATTATTCGAGACCCGGTGTTGTGATATGGGATGCAGTTTGATTATCATGTTCATTAATTAAGGGGAGGGCATGTACTCACCTGGACGATGAATTGCCGGCACTGGGGCTTGTAGGCGTTCGTTCCACATGCCAGAAACTTATCTGGCCCGTGACGTCCGAATACACGAACGTAATTCTGGCAGTCGTCGTCACTCCGGCCTTTTAGGTTACACAATTCTCGGTGGGCATCTGTACTCGACCACTGGACTCTCTAAAAATAAAAAAAAAGAGAATGAGAATTTATTTATGAAGCCATTGAGTGAAATCGTTATCGGATGTGCGCAGATGCTCATTGCGCACGCGGACTTGGCGCGAGACTCGACCGCGTCAGATCGGCAAATACTCGAAATGCTCATCTTTTCTTCACCGAATTCCATCATTCTGGTTAAATCTATTCACTCTCTGGAAATTCATAGATAGAGGTAACAATTAATTCCTAATTAAGTCATGTACCCACGGATGGTAGAAAAAATTTACGTCAGTCGTTTTATTTTTTTACAATTTTCACCCGAATTTTGCATATTAAAAAATTGCAACACTCGTATCGGTCATAAAAACCAGTGGGTGAAATAAAAAAAATTGATGAAAAATAGTGTTTTTAATTCACTGCATGGCTCCACCGTCTGTCGCTCACAACTCAACCACCCAAAAGGGGGAATCCCCCCGCGTGTCCCCTAATTAGAATACTACCGGTAGCACAGGAACGTAATGCTCGTCGCCTAGCCTGAGATCCAACCGGGCTCTAAAAGTTTAAACCACAAAATCGCACTGAATATTCAACGGCTTATACATGGGTTTCACCGGTTCACCCTCTGGTTTCTCTACCCTCGGCTCAGCCAACGAACACCCAACCTTCACCAATTTTAGTCATAGTAAACTCGTGTCTCTGCGGTACACCCCAAACTTCAACGCACAATCGGCATTTTTTTTGTTTAACGACATTTTAAAATTTATCCGTTAAAAAACAAATTGCGCAATCAGAAAAATTTGTATTTATCATTTTTTTTGTTTATTATTTTTAATATTTAATTGATACATGGTTGATTGATGATCTCCATTCATTTATAAAATTAAAAAACAACCAAATATAAATAAAAATAATAGAATAAATGAAAAACACGAGTTGATATGGGATTTAAACGGAATTGGTGGATTTTCCATTAAAAATGTTGTCCACGCAGAATAAACAAAATTTATTGTTAAATTTGCGCGAAATGGAGATGTGGAATGCGTTATTGTTTTTATTGATTAAAAGTTAATTCTGTCAGAGGCATGGATTCAATTATTTCGGTGGCATTTACCGGTGCATACATTCGAAGATTCGAGTGCAAACTTGTGTTAATTGTCAATCTTATTGTCATTTAGGGGAGAAATAGCGATGATGCTAAGAAGCTTTCGTGAATTCATGATTTATTGATGAACGCGATAGTTATAACGCGACACATTCTCAATCAACAAACCACTCACTATCGAATGATTAAAAATTAAAAGTGAGAACCCACGTGTCACTCGGATTTTCAAAGAATTTCTATTTCCAAACTCAATATCCCGAAATTAAGTAACTGAATAGAATAATATGAATTATAAGTTGCGACAAATGATAAAATAAATTCTGCAGTTTATCTAAATGTTAATATCGAACAGTAAAATTACATGTCAAGAAGAGTTGAGAGGTTTCTGTAGAAAATCTGTAATTCTCATCGAAAATCCCCTTAAATCTGAGGTAGGATTATTCGGAATAAAACTTTCATATTTGAATTATTTCGAGAATATGTCGGAGAAAGAGACGTACAGAGAGTTAATGAAAAAAAAATTCACCTGCGTCATCAGAATCGGATTAAAAAAAAGTTCTTTTACAAATCTCCTCAATATTTATAGTATTTATGCAGTGATTGACAGATTTATTGGTAGGAAGAAACTATATTTGAGAAAACCCATTTTTTCCTCTCAGTGTATAAAATAACGACTACATTTTTCACTTCTCACCTGAAAATTCAAAAACCTGTTAAATTTAGAAGTCGATGGATAACTTAAAATACAACATCCGAGGATGTGACATCCGAAGACTTTAGGTCAGATTTCATTTCATCAGATTCCTATTCTCAAAGGGACACGCTTGACACAATCGATTATCTCGAAAATCTCGAAATTATGAAGCCACGATTCCCTATTGGTCCACCTAAAATGGCGCGAGATTACAAAAAGTCGTAACGCCCTTACAGAAATAGTTTCATACCTGCACGCAGGCGCGCGATACGGATTCTCGTTGAATATAAATATCAGATAATAATAAGTCACGCAATTTTAATTTCTGCCCAAAACAGTAATAATAAATGAGATGCATGTCACTTTATCGTTTTTGAAAAAGCCGAGTGAAATTTTGATAGAGAAGACAATTTGCAATTTCCGAGTGACACAGTCTGGTTTTGATAGAAAATTTGATTTTTTTTTTTGGTCTTACAGGTACAGACGAGACAGTACATTAACCAGCATCACTATCTTGACGGGGAGGCGTTAAAGATACATTGCGTCGGGTCTGCCGAGGAATACTGGGCAAAGGGGTTGACTAATGGCATGGAATAATTGCTCTCGTGCTTGTACGTATAACAGAGACACCATTACTTTGTTCGTATTAAAACTATGTACACATAAATGGGCTTCTCCGTACATGTAACAGCAGCCTTTATACGGTAAATAGATTAAATTTGCCACGTCTGTCTCTTTTGTCAGGGGCGACAGGCGAAAATAGGCGGACCCGAGGCGACAAAGGGTCTGGAGGGGAGAAATAATCTTTTGGTTTTATTTCTCAAATCGGTTGTTTTTCCGAGTGAATTAACACCTCGGTGATATCGCAGGTGAGCTTTTTACTTTTGCTGAGTTATTTCAGGACGGGTCTCGATGGAATCAATCATGGATAGTTAATAATAAACAATGATAATTTATTCGTAAAACGGTTGAATTTAGTCGATTCTTTAAATTGATTCAAATCAATTTTTTAATTTGATTCAAATTGGAAGATTATCGACTCGAATAAATAAACACAAAGTTAATACTGCAATTAAATTTCCAGCATGACTCAATCCAACTTTCTTGAGGTACCTATATTTCCCTGTAATCATAATCGTATCTCAAATTTGCATGAAAAATCGATGAAAAAAAAAGGCACAACACTCTGGAGATAGATTGGCGCCTGATAGCGCGTTTCCTGGTAGCATAAAGTGGTTCCACCGCGAAAAATGTTATAATAAATAATGATAAAAGGACAACGAGCTTCACCGAGTCAAACTGGAGTAGACTTGGGGGATGCCCAGTGAATAGATTTAATTTGCGCTTGGAAGGTCCCCAGCTTTGACGTACGGACATTTAACGGAAATGGATGGACGGCGCGTGACTGGTAATGCAGGGGTAATGTTGGCATGGGTAATGCTGGCCATGCAGAGTACCGCAGCACTGAGTACAGTTTGAGACTGCTACATATAACTATATTCACTAGGGTTTGCTCAACGACAGAGAGGAGGGATTCCTATAACGGTACGTCTTGTTGCTTTTACATATAATTCTCTTTTGACTGTACCTTCATTTTGTGTCCATCATGGTCAACCAACACTCAATAAACCTCCAATGTTATTTAATCTCCTCTTCCTCTACTTGTTTGTTTACTTTTTTTATATTGTCCAGTCATCCTGTGCTATCGTCGAAGTTTTAGTTTCAATCCAATAAATCGTTTTATCCTGTATTTTGAGTTTAATCAATATATATTTCCAATTTTCCGTTAGAGTCAATAAAATTCTAGTTGTGGATGAAAATCACCGCAACTTTCACTTTTTACTGGAAATTCAACGGAATTTTAGAGTAAATAAATTTAAGAATCGAAAAGGTCTAATTTCGCTGAAATTTCAGTAAAATTTCAGTAAAATTTCAGTAAAATTTCAGTAAAATTTCAGAATTCCAAATTTATATATATTTTATCATAGGCACATATAATAATTATTATTCATATTATTATTTTGTATAAAAATAATTTTCTCATCACGGAATAAGTTGAGAGATAGATTTATTTAACAATTTTAATAACAACGAAGACTCTCTCAGACTAATGTCGTTACCCAAATTAATTGCAAGGAATAGGAATAATTCCCCGGGACATTGTGAAATTCTATTTTTATTATTCTATTCTATACGCAGGATTCCCTTGGCATTATAATGCACTCGGGACAGAGAGACAGGAAACAGAAATGTAAGACGTAATCCGAGGGAGGAAACAGTGGCGCAGACATTGTTAATTTTTCCTTACCTATTCTGCAAAATGACGATGTTGAATTTTTATTCAGGTGATATCATTCTTTTTTTTTGGGTAATTACTTTTTTATGCGACTGTCTGAAGCAGATAAGGTTCAAGTTTATCGCAGTAATTCTCGAAACGTAATAAATAAAAACAAACAAGAAATGTAGTACAACTCCATGAGTCAGTGGTTGTTCACTAGATTAATTAATGATTCCATTGAACTTCCGATGAGGCGTTGATTAAATTGCCGCATTAAATTAATTTGAAAAATAACGAAATTTAGTCTCCAAAGATATTATTATATACCACATATTTAATAAAATATAAAATAATCACGTATATGAATTTATTATGTTTTTTTTCAATCAATCGCGTGGATTGAAAACAAATTTTAATTAATAATTATAATATTAATAATAAAGAATTCATTCGAAAAACAGTCTGAAATTAAAAAAATAGTATATTAAACAAAAATACTGCAAAATAGTGGATTGACCCGTACGGAATATAATCCATTATCACGTGTATAATTATTAACGAGGGAAATCCCATAATCACGAGATAAATCTGAAATAACAATGAGATTTAATCTCTGCAGATAATAAAAAAAATGGTGGTTGGACGAAATGTGGGAGAGCGAGGAGATGCCAGAAAAAGGTGCACTCCGAGGAATGAAAAATCTCCGGAGTCAACGGAAAAGCATTTATCGCATTTATTCGTCCACCCCCTCATGTGCTGAATTTAGAAAACAACGTGGTACCTGACAGCACATCACGTGTTTTGTTCATTCTGTCGTGAGTAAAACTGCAAGCGTGCAGTGGCGCAGACGGATCAACCCAGTTGGTAGGAGATGGTGAAAATGAGAAAAACAGGGGATGGGTGGAGACTGAAAAATAAATGAAAGAAGACTCAATGAAAAAAAAAAA